AAAAAAAAAAAAAAAGTGTATACAAACAAAAACACATCAGTACATCTGTGGACCAAATTTGGTCCAGAGGTTCCCTGTTTGAATCTCTTCTGGAGACAGTGAAAAGCAAGTGAAGGATTTTAAATGAAAGAGAGATAGGAACAGGCATGCATTTTAGAAGCTGGGAAGCCAGTTCAGAGGCTATTGCAAGGGTCCAAATGAGAAAACAAAGAGGGGCTGGGGGCCCATGTTGCCTTATGGCTAGAGCATAAGAGTCTGTTGTTAAAGCCTGTGCTGACAGCTTAAGTAACCTTGGCAACAACAGTATCCTTCCTCACCATTCCAGAGACTGAAAGGGGATGAGTGTTATGTCCTACATGGCCGTGTCATGTCTCTAGAGCCACTAGAGGCAGCTAGGGAAGCAAGGAGGGAAGGTAGACAGAGGAGCAGACAGACCTTGGGACCAGAGAGCTTTTTCAGGTGTAAAGGGCAGCTGGGAATGAAAAACAAGGTAGCAGTGGTTTCTTCAGGGAGCAGCCTAGCATTTGGATAAAGAGGTTACCTAATGTGGAATAGTAAGCACCAAGACCTTCCAGAGCTGTCTGTTGCACATCTACGCCATGCTAATCTGGCCCCAACTTGCCTCCTTTCCTGCCACTCCCCCCCTCAACCTCCCAGTCAGCCAGATCAGATTCTGCCTCTTTCCACACCATCCTTACTGGAAGGATTATTTACTCTACCCAGTCGTATCTTACTCATCTTCAAGAGTCACCTCAAATCCTATTTCTTTCTTTCATTCAGCAGATTTTTGTTGAGAGCTTGTTATACCCCAGGGACTATATTAACTTCCGTGAGAGATATTGAGATATTAAAAAATGGATTCTATCGTCAAATGAGAGGAAAAATAAACTAACATTTATTGAAGATTGCTAGGTGCCAGGCCAGGGCTACCTGTTACTTCGTGTAATCTTTATAACAACCCTAACTTATGGATGAGAAAACAAGCTCAGAGAGGATAATTAACATACCCAAAGTCACATAGCTATTAACAGATAAGCTAAGACTCCAACTCAGATCTCTCTAATTCCATCGTCTCTGTCTGTCTATCTGTCCTTATTTCCTTCCTGAACAATATCTTAACAAGAAGTTTGGAGATAGATGGTCTCAGGATTTTTTTTGGCTATGTCATCAGGGACCCAGGCTTATTGCATCCTTCTGCTCAGCCATCCTTAGCTTATGTGATTTCATCATTGTGTTTTTTGCCTTGAAGTCACATGATGACTGTCTCAGCTCCAAGTATCATGTCTTCATACAACAGAATCCAAAGAGGAGGGGAACGGGCAAAATGGGTCACTCTGCAATGTCCCCACCCCACACTCCCCCCCCCCCTTTTTTTTTTTTTTTTGCTGAGGAAGATTTGCCTTGACCTAACATCTGTACCATCTTCCTCCATTTTGTCTGTAGATGGCCACCGACGAGTGGTATAGGTCTGCACCCGGTAACTGAACCTGGGCCACTGAAGCGGAGCAGGCTGAACTTAACCATTAGGCCACGGGGCTGGCCCTCACACTCCCCTTTTTATTAAACAGGAGAACCCTTCCCAGAAGCTTCCTAAAAGATTTCGCCTTAAATCTCGTTGGGTCATTTGCCATCTTTAGACCATTCACCCACTATTGGCTTAGACTAATCGTTGACCCCTGGGGCTGGGTGCATTAACACCCAACCAAGTTGAGATCTATTACCAAGAAAGAAGGGAGAGAATGGGTCTTTGGGAAACAACCAACAGTGGCTGTCATAGGAAATTAATAATACCTTATTGGAAATGACTTCATATGTGTGTATTCTTTTTGTAAACTTCTAAAGCAAAACCCCAATATAATCTTCCGAAATCTCTAGACCTTGGTCTCTTTAACATGATCTTTTTCCTTCTCAGGCCCTACCTCTCCACTGAGTGTGAAGCTTTGCTCCTGTTCCCCCGGCAGTGTTTCTCTGCATTCATCCATTCTATCCTCTCCTTTCTCTGGGCTGTGATCCTAGCATTCCTTTCCCAAAGCACAGATAGCCATATTAGTATCTGTCCTGAAATTCTGATCGCTTTTGCGAGTCCATGCTGAAAGAAGCTCCTTAGACTTCTCAAAGAAGATGCTGTATTACATCTGTCTCTGTACCTGAAGGAGACATGCTGAGGTCTATTTCACAAAATTTCTCCCTCTTTGGTCCCTCCCCCAATTCTGTCTCCACACATCTGATTAATCTCGCCCAGGATCGACATGTCGCTTGTCATCCGGGCACCTTCCTATTTACATAATCAAGAATCCTGCTCTCTTCCTTGCCTTGGAGGCTAATTTTGTATATTCTTAGCCTTCTTATTCATCGCCTTCTGTTCTTTTGTTCTTTTTTTAAAAAATGTTTTTATAAAATATTGAGTAGATAGGAGAGAATTTTTATAAAATATACGTAAGGTATAGAGAATCACATTACAATTAATACCACCTAGTTTAAGAAAAGAAACATTTCTGTGACTGCCAAGGCCCCTGTATGCCCTTCTCTTATCCTAACTTTCTTCTTCCCCAGAGTTAACCTTTGCCCTGAATTTAGGGTTTATTATTTCCTTGCTTTTCTATAATTTTACCAGTATGTATTCTTAAACAATACGTGTTTTAATGTTACATAAATGGAGCCATACAGTATTTATTATGTGACTTTCCTTTTTTGCTCAACATGTTCCTGAGAGTCATACATGTTGATGGATGTAGTTGTATTTATTTTCACTGTCTTTCATTGAAAAAATATACTACCGTTTGTCTATTTTATTATTGATGGGCATTTGGTTTTTTCTAGTTTGGACCTATTACAAACACTGCTACTGTGAACGTTCTTGAACACGTTTCTTAGTGCACATATGCTAGAGTTTCTCTAGAGGGTATACTACGAGTAGAATTGCTGGGTCAGAATGTTTGCAGTCACCCTTATTAGATAATGCCAAAATGGTTTCCAGTTGCCAGCAGTGTAGAAGAATTGTAGTTGCTCAAAGTCCTTGCCAACACTTTATTTTATCATATTTAAATTTTCTTTGCCAGTTTAGGTAGGCGTGAAATGGTATCTTATTATTGTTTTAATTTATATTTCCCTGGTTACTAATGAGGTTGAGGATCTTTTTATATGTTTATTGGCCATTCAGGTTTCCCTATTGAAGTTCCTGTTTAAGCTTTTTGCCCATTTTTCTATTTGAGTCTCTTTTTGTTTGTTTGTTTGTTTTTGTTTTTGTATTAATTGGACCTCAGATACACAGAATGTGCATAAACAATATATAGTATTCATTTACTTGTTTTTGAATTTTTAAAAAAAATATGCTATATGTAGTCTTCTGGGGTTTACTTTTATCACACAATATTATGTTAGTAAAATCCATCCACCTTGTTACATATAGGTATGGTTCTTTCATTTTTCTCTGCTGAATAATATTTTATAATGTCAGTATACTGCAAGTTATCCATTCTCTCATGATCTTAATTTGTATCTAGTTTTTTAATGTTAGGAACAGTGCTACTGTGAATCTTCTTGTCTGTATCTCTTAGAGCATATATGCAAAAATTTCTTTTGGCTTTTTCTCTAGGAGTGGAATTGCTGGACTGTAGGGTATGTGACTATTAAATGCCAAGTTGCTTTTCAGTGTGGTTAAATGAATTTATACACCCACTGGCAGTGTATGAGAGATACCTTGATTCACATCCTCTTCTACGCTTGGAATTAGACTTTAAATTTTGCCAATCAAATGGGTGTAAAAAAATATGTAATTGTGGTCTTGATTTACATTTCACTAATGACCAATGAAACTGAGCATCTCTT